GTGACCTCAGCAAACTTTTGCTGCAGCTCCCTTAACTCCTTGTTCAGGTCATCCACCTTGCTTGCCAACATTCCCTCCATTTCATGGTACTTCTCTGCAAGGATATAGTTTTGCTGCAGATCATTTTGGACAGCCAGGATCCCAGCTGTTAACTTTCTGATTTCCTCAATATGTTTCTGGATTTCTTCCTCTTTTGTTCTGAGTTGTTCCCCCTGTTCCAGGAGCTGGTTTTTCAGCTCCGTTACAGTTGCCTCAAAGTCCCGCTCCTTTTCATCCAAACTGGCAAGGGGAGCATATTTGGACTTGATGCATTCTTGAATCAAGTCAATCTCCTTCTTCTGGGCCTCAATCTCTGCATGCAATTGGGCAACTTCTTCTTGCTTTCCTTGGTACTTTGCCAGCATTTCAGAGTTGCTTCTCTGAAGGTCCTGAATATTTTTATTCAGAGCCGCGACTTTACTGTCATGGTCTTTTGTATTGAGATATTCAGCCTGCATTTGACTTTGCAGCCCCCTCAACTTCTGCTTCAGTGCATCGTTCTCTTCATTCACTTTCAAATATTCCTGCTTCACCTTTTCCATCTTCTCCTTCAGGTCTGACAATTCTTCCCCTGTTCTTTCCAGCATGATGTTCAAGGCAGTTTTTGCCTCTTCGTGAGTTTCTGAAGAGACATACTGCTCCTTCATGACATCTTGGAGCGCTGCATTTTTAGTTGCCAGTTCAGAAACTTTGGCCTGCTCTTTTTTGTATCTTTTGCTAAATTCATCAAGCTGCTTTTGCAAGTCTGCCAAGGTAGATTTTAAGACTCCTATCTCCTTCTCATGCTTTTCAGGAGGAACGTAAGCTGACTGAAACTTACTGACCTTCTCCTGTAGGTACAGCTTCTCTGCTAGCAGTTTCTCTGTTTCTCCTTTATACCGGTGATATTTTTCAGTGGTTTCCGTCAGCTTCTTGTTCAGCTCTCCTACCACTTTCCTTGTGTCTTCATTGACCTTCAAAGGAACATACTGGGTCTTCACCTCACCCCTGAGGGTCTCCATCTGCTGCTTTAGGAGGCTCTGGTCCATCTGAGCCCTTTCTACGGCCTTCTGCAAGGCTTGGTTTTTTTGTTTCAGTTCCAAGTGTCCCTTCTCAAGTTCACGGGCCCTTTGCTCATACCTGCTTCTGACATGCTTATGTTCCTCTGGCTTCACATAGTGAGCAAACTGAGCTTTCTGCTTCTCAAGCTCCATCCTCAGGTGCTGAACTTCTGTGCACAGCTTTTCACGCTCTTTCTCCAACTCTGCTAGCTTCCAGCCCTTCTCATCAATTTCGTTGGACAGAGAACCCTTCATCTTTTCAAATTTGTTAGCCCATTTCACTGCCGTTTCCTTCAGCTGCTCTTCTGCCTCAGAAAAAGTCCTCTCCCTTTTCTCACGTTCCACCTTCAACATGCCAAGTCCTTTCTGCAACTTTTTATTCTCCTCCACCAGCCTTGCTTCATCTCGTCTGAATTCTTCCACTAACAGCTCGTTCTGCTTCAACTGATTCCTCAACTTGCCCACTTCAGCCGAAGCTCCCTCGTACTTAGCCTTCATGTCTTTCAGCTGCTCCTTCAGCTCCTCAGTCACCTTAGTGCTACCTGTAGCAGCTTCACTGGTCAGGTGATCCTTCAAGGCAAGAAAGTGGGTCTGCATCTGCTTCACTTTCCCTTCTGAATCAAACATTCTCTTCTGCACATCTTTTAAAGCATCTTCCAGTTGTTTTATCTGCTGGTCCGACTCTTGCTTAATTCTTTCACACTCAGATGCCAGGGCTTTGCATTCTGCAGACTTGTGGGACAGCTCCGCCTGGAGCCTGCTCAGGTCACCTCTTGCTGCCTCATAACAGCTCCTGATGCTGCCGAGCTCTCGCTTGAGGGCATCAGCCTCCGAGGGGCAACACTGTATTGGGCTTAACAGCTCTAAAGGCCTCACCATTGAGCGGCTCTGGAGATTAGCAGGCGCCAAACCAAGCGTTTGCTTTAAACAAAAGAAAGGTTACTAATTAAGTTTTGTACAATGGTTTCCATAAAACAGTAATTTTAACAGTTTTTAATGTAAAAGGAAAAGCCTCCATTAGTTCAACTGTGGTGTTTTGAATGCCACACTCCCAAGTTCATTCCATAATTTTTCAGATTAAAAGGCAGGCCAATATTGGTTAAAAAGATGGAAAATATTGATGCCTTGTTGGACCACCCATTATAATTAGGATAAAAAGTAGGAAATAGGCATTAAGGACATCCCTCCACTAACATAAATGCATTGCCTCTAAATTTTATTAACTTGAAAATTAAAATAGCTTCCTCATTTCCAGATTTAAATGGTCAGCACTGGAAGAGCATGCAGGTCAGCAACCCTCCAGCTGAGAGAGAGCAGGAACGGGCCAATGGCCAAGCAAAGCATTTGGGGAGGGTTCAGGGGCTGCAGCAAGTGGGGCCACAAGGGAAAGGAGATGGCTTAGATTGTGTTCCTTCTTTTTGTGTGAAAAAGGCCTTGTTTTTAAATAGCATTGAACCAATGTTTCAGTGCTATTTTTGGGGTGAATCTGTAGTTTTTATGAATTTCCCACCTTAAAAGGGCAGAAAAGCCAATTGTTGACAAACACAGTTGCAGGGGGAAAGCAACAGCCAAAAAAAAAGGCAGGGGGAAGAGGGCAGTTTTGAGGGTGTGTTTTGGCTTCTCAAAGCTCCAGCCTGCTGACGGGTGGAGCTACAGGAAGCTCTGCTGAGGAATCTAGCACCTCCAGGGGATGCCCAATAACAGAGTTAGATGCCAAATATTATATGGATCGCATTTGGAAAGCGAACTGGAGTTGCACTGGAGCCAAGAATATTCAGGTACCTGGGATCCTGCAGAATAGCCTGATTCCATCATCAGTACATTTTCTTTCCCTTAAGAAAAACAAAACACATCCATTCTTTAATTTGAAACAAATGTCCGCATATTATCTTCTACATACTACATAAAGTTCTGGTCAATAAGATACAAAAAAGATGTTGAGACCCTAGAAAGAGTACAAAGAGCAACAAAGATAATAAGGGGTCTGGAGGTTAAACTGAGTCCAACGAAGGGAAAGATTAGAGGGTGACATGATAGCAGTCTTCCAATATCTGAGGTGCTATCACAGAAAAGAGGGGGTCAACATATTCTCCAAAGCACCTGAGAGCAGAACAAGAAATAACAGGTGGAATATCATTAAAGAAAGATCCAACTAAAATTAAGGAGAAATTTCCTGATAGGGAGAGCAATTAATCAGTGAAATGGCTTGCCTCCAGAAGTTGTGGATGCTTCATCACTGGAGGTTTTTAAAAAGAGACAGGACAGCCATTTGTCTGAAACGGTATAAGGTCTCCTGCTTGAGCAGGGGGTTGGACTAGAAGGCCTCCAAGGTCCCTTCCAGCTCTGTTCTGAAATGAATTGAAGCCTTCCTTACCTCCACCCCCTACACACATACATAAATCTAAAAACAGATGTCACAAGACTCATGAACATCAACACGGAGAGTGAAACGTTCCTCCACAAAAGAGGAAGAGAGCAGAAGACAAAGGAGAGGCAAGGAGGGCAGAATGTCATATGGCGTCAGAAGAAGCAGCCGTCTCTCATCTCTTCAAGGTACAAAATGTCCAACGCTGGGCTACCTGAGCATCCTTCACCAGCATCTGACTGCAATGGGCACATCCATATGCCTTCTGCACATGGACTCAATTCCACTGAGAAGCCTACCAAACCCACATCTCCTCAACTTCAGTGAGCACTGCCTGCTTACTGGGAAAAAACCCACACATTGTTTTGGAAGAAGACAAACACAAGGATGCACAACTATAAGCTGCACAAATAAGCAACTGCAAAACTGTACAGAAAGACTGCCTGGCATGCTGAAGAAGGTATCAAAAGCTACGTACTGTTATTAAGGTTGCCTCCAGATCCTGCATGGTCACCCTGAAATCACAAAAAAACAGACGTGGTTTCACATAGATCAGGGGTCCCCAACCCCCGGTCCGTGGCCCAGTACTGGGCTGCGGCATGCCAGCAACCTCCAAGGTCCCTTCCAGTTTTATTCTATTCTAAGTTCACAACTGAAGACTGCTTTCCAAATTAAGGGACATTACCTCATGGAACCTGAGTTTTGACTTCAGAGTTTCAAGCATTTGCAGGCTCTCTTCTTGCTGCTTTTCTTTTGTGGCCAGAAGCCTCCTAAGATCATCTTTCTAGAAGAGGGCAACAGGTCATTGCTACGGGGAGCCAGAAATGTCTGTTTCTCTTTCTGAGATAATATACCTTTACAGATTTGATAAATACACATAGGCCCCAGTGTATAGCAGTCGAGCAGGCTAAAGTTACTTGAGACTTAACATATGCTGCCATTACATAAATCCTGGTGCATTAGCACAATCAACCCCAAATGTTTTTAAAGGGTCCATTCCCACTAATTTATGATTTTAGATCTATCAGGCAATTATCTAAGGAGACAGAAAAAACAGTTTTCCTTTCAAGTTAATGAGAAAGAACAATAGAAAGAATCTCTTCTTTTTTTACCTCAGTTTCAAGATCATCAGCAACCATTTGCTCCTAAAAACAGAACAGAACACATTCAGCAATATCTGAGATTGTTTCTTCCATCATTCATGAATGGCTAGTGCTATAACTCACCTGCCAAAGGGTATTTTTCCTTTCCAGTTCATAGACTGTCCCAGATTTGGCCAAAAATATTCTGCGCACAGATTTCTGCATTCATACCCCCACAAAAATAACCCTAAGAACCAGATTTGTTCACAAAGGACCAATCCTGTCCTTTCCCATTCCAGCCCCTGGCCCGTTTTCTGACAGTTCAAAGAAGCCACAATTCTAAGACCAAAGTTGCAGAAGGGAAGAGGGAAAGCAGAGCAGCCCGGCTTGATATTATCTTCTTTCCTTCCACGTGAGAAAGCTTAATCAAGCACATCAGCTGAGCCGGAAGCCATGCCAGCAGAGCTTTTTAAAAATATTGTTCTGACACAAGAGGCAGAACAGTCAATCAAAAGTAGAATGTTTGGTAACAACAGTATGGTTTGATCCCCAAATGCAGATTAGCATTTAAACTTCTACGTCACTGTTTAAAATGGAAAACCAGAGAAAACGAACATGTCCCTCACTCTAATCATGACGAGAAGCCTGTTGCAGAGGGAAGCCAGGGTGACCACAGAAATGTCTCCTGGTCCCAACAGCTAAATAATCACCCCTGGACTATACCCTGTCCAGAGGGCAAAGTTTCTCCTTGGGCACACTGGTCACTGCTACCACTTTATATTCACTGCTGCTGAAAGTTCCAGCAATGGGGACCCCGCTTCAAAAGGCAGACTGGGGACTCTTCTGCCAGAGAACATGCCTCAGAATAGAAAAAAAATATCACCACCTTTATTCTAACCATTGTTCAGAAAAGGATGGTGGGTAAAAAGAAAAAAAGGGAAATCTGGGGGCTGAACCTTGATAAAATACTAGCCATCTCAATTAAATGTTAAGCATGCAGCACAAACTGGGGTTTGTTACCTCGTTCAGCTGCAACTGCAGCCCATTTATTCTGTCTAGTAGGATTCGTTGGTCCTGCTGGATTTCCCTCACTCTTCCTTTTAAGTCTTCATTTTCTCTTTCTAATTCCTGGGAACAAAAAAATAATCTTATTCAAGCTGAGGATGCTCACCAGGCATTACAGATAATCGTAGCTCCCACCCCAAGCGAGGCCTTCTCCTGTATAGGGATATCCAGATTTCTTTCCTGGGTTCCCATCGCCAACCGCAAAAGACCCGACTTCTCCCTGAAGCTACATCTGAGCCTCCTGCCCTCCCAACCACTCCTCACTAGCAGCCAGTGGCCTCTTTCTGTCTACTGACTTATTCACACGCATCCCCCATCTCTGCCAAACACTGCTCAGCTGCAGCCAGGAATGGCCCCAACAATGTAAGGACCTGCCCCAGCTGGTCCCTCAGGAGAGCAAAACTCTTGACTCCATTGAGTTGAATCAAAAGAACTTTTGCTGAGAGAAAGTAGTCGCAGAAAAGGCAGGTGGAATCTGAAAGTCCCACGCAAAGCACAAAGCAATTCTGACCAGTCCACTGGCAGCCAATGTGATGCCACAAGGCCTGCCATGGCCCAGAAGAGCACCATGCCACTCCAAGATTTTAACCTGTCCTTTGATGTCCATCAATGAGGCATTTATGCAAGTTAGACATGTTGGCAAAGACCATTATCTTTGTCTTTTGGTGATTCTTTTGTAGGTGTTCCCTTTTGCAGGACTGTGCAAATATCCCCCCAAGGCTAGCAACTGTCTAACATTTGTACCAGGCATTGCAAGACTATGAGAAGTGGTTTAGAAACAGATTGAGAGTTTTCAAGAGCTGACAGATGAAGTTTTTTATTCTTTTCAGAGTCAAAGGAACTTTCCTTCACCTGTACGTTCTGGTGCTCCTTCAGAAATGGTTTATTGCTCACTTCGTCCAAGATATTTGGTTGAGTCCATTTAGGTAGCATGCCAGGCACCTAAAAAGTAAAAAAATGTTGAAGTTCATCTTCAATAAGGAAATATTTCAGCAATACTAGTTACCTCAACTGCACAGGTCCCCCTTTCCTTACATTCACCTTAGGCAACTGCAAACTTGACAGAGATGGCAAGCTTGACCACAGATGCTGGTAAAGAGGGCTGATCGCGTTGAGAAAGGCCACAATCACTGATGATGCCCACAATATCTCTTCCCCAGAGGGCAGACCTTCCTCCAAACCACCTCCAAAGGGCAGAAATTAGAGGCTTACATTAGACCTCTCCCAGAATCCTTACCTTCAGTTGCTGCCCTTTCTTCATTATTTCGTAACCTGCTAAAAAATAAAGCTTATGTTTAGATATTCCATCCAAGCTCAGGCAGAATGTAAAAAAACAAAATTATTCTTTAGAAACTACTAGTCTGCATCTTCATTAATGTTTTATATCCAACAATACAGAACATCAATTCCAAAAATGATTTAGAATAGCCACCTCAAGCTGAAACCCTTTGAGGTTCAATGGAGTGCGCACCCGCTAGCCACATGAGCTGGATCTGCTGAGAGGAAAGCCTGAAGAGAATCTGATAAAACTCTAGCAGCACTGGGCAAACAAGAAAAGAACAGATGCCGCTTTATTTCAAGGGCTTGTGTGCCCCTCTCATCAACTATGCCGCTGTGGCTCAGGAGGAACTGGAGATCCAAAGATGCTTTTTTTTTCTCACTAGGCAACTGGACTGTCTTGGGGAAATACTAGACATACTGTAAACAATGTTAAATGGGACAGAAGTTAATTAGTAGTTCCTCTCAAAAGTATCAGCAGAGTCTGGCCCACAAAGAGTCCAAGAAGACGACATTCTGCCTTGAGGAACTCACTAATCAAAGAAGACTGGAATCTCATATGACATTTTTCAAGATTCTGTACCTAACCTCTAATCTTTGCATTAAACCTATTACTTAATTCCTGCTTCCTTGAGGGTGCCCTGCGAGCAGCTTATAAACCTTGTTTTCATTAAAAAAAACAAACAAACAAACCAGCAGCTTGCTTGTTTGCGTTATTTATTTATTTATTTATTATATTTGTGTAGCTGCCCATCTTAAAGTCTGGGCGGCTCACAGCAACAATAAAATAATAGAACCATAAAACAAAATCATTAAGCAAATGATTACAAAGTTTCATGGCGGAAAGAAAGAAAATAACTCTATATCGATTAACCCCCCCAAATTGCAAGAGTTTTCATCACTAAGATTTCTGGGGGGGGAGAACAGTTTTGGAGGCTTTTGGGGATTTTAGGACAAAAGCACTTCCAAAGGAGGAGGACAACAACTAAAAAAAAACAAAACCCTTGGAACTTCTGGCAATGAACAAAAGGACGGAGAGGCAACCTCTCCCACGGGATCTTATCCGATGGGCAGAAACAACCAGGAGATGGCAGTGTCCTGGGTGAAGAAGACATTTCCCCTGAAAATATGAGGGAAGCTGATGTACCTTTGCTGGATTCTTCAAAGGCAGACTTTATCAGAGACAATATTTCAGCACTGTCCCCAATTCGTGCATAATAAAAGCAGTCGTGGCCCAGCGCGTCAACCAAAGTAACATCGGCTCCATTTTTGAGCAAAACTTCTACAGCATCCTTACAGCCGTACTCGCAGCCCAGCATCAGAGCGGTCCTGCAAGGGAATGAAGAAAGGGTGCAAGTACAGCAGGTGCTGGCTGCCCAGGATTTTGAACGTGGCCATGAGGCTACTGTGATAGTCCTAAGAGTGAGGATCATTGGCAAGTCACTTTTTCAGTGCCCTTGTAGCTTTGAGTGGGCATTCAACAAACAGAACTATCTGTATTCTGGTGCCAGCTGCTTGATTATTTCTGCTTGATCCCTCTTGCCAGTGCACACCAAATTCAAGGAAGGCAAGTCAAGATCTTTCTGAGTCAAGTGTGAAATGTTTCTATTTACAGAATCCGTGGGGCCCCAAATTCACAATTTCTTGGTCTCAGTAGGGTTTTACTACAGAGAAACTAACTCTAACGTGTTCCAGAAGCATATAGGTAGCTTATCTGCAGATGACTTGCAGGAAGATATCTTACCGATTCTGCTTATCTCTTGCATTGACTTCAGCACCTCTGTCTAACAGAAACTGGCATACAGCTGGACGGCACATCTGAGTGGCCAGCACCAAGGGTGTCCTTCCATCCTGGAAAAAGAACAAAAAACGTCTTCTGGGGAAGAAGAAATGGCAGAGCAGCTCCTATAGCAGAATGAAGTGCTGGCAATCTTCGATAATTCCTCTTCAGATTACCCACAAGTGTTCCAGAAAGCTCACAAAAGAGCCACCACGGCTCATAAATGTTTAGACAAAAGATGGAGTACAGGAAGAAAAGATCATTTGTTGTATTTTAAGTTACTACAATTATACTTGTGATAAAGCAGGAGTCTCTTTTCCATTCACTTCATTCATTTATTACATTATTTTTTTTCTTTTCTATTTTTCTTCTTACTTTTTCTTTTCCATACATTCTTTTTTTTTTTGGCTTGTATTTGTTTTTATTGATGTACAGTGGTACCTGCTTTGAAACTCATCAAATTTGACTCAATGCATGTTGATGTGAAAATTTTGTCCCGGTACTCAACGCACAAGCTAGAATCTGTCATTGTCGGCTGCCTTGTGACTCACTACATTATTCCTTATAGGAAAAATGTGTTTGGTACTCATCATTTTTGGTACTCATCACACCTCCCAGAACCAAATAACAATGAGTACCAAGATATCACTGTAATTGTACTGTTTAATGAAATGTTATTAAAAAAGAAAAAGAACCAAGAACTTGACCCATCCTGAAAGAAGATTCTGAAGGAACTTACAGCATCTTTGGCATTCACCAAGGCTCCATGGTCACACAGCAACTGTATGCTGGATGTACAATCCGACATTGCTTTGGGAAGCAAAACAATAGGTGTTACTGGTGGAAAATTCAAGATTCAACTACTGGCAGGTTATTATTGGCTGTAGGACCCATGGAACATGTTTCTGGACTGTTTTAATAATACCTAGTAATATCTAATAGCCAATGTCTCAATCAGAATGCATCGGTTTCAAAGTAGTAAGGTAATAATAAAAAGTTCCTTAACAATTATCATTCATCTTTTGGAGAAACACAAACAGCATCTGCGCTAATCATTGGCTTTTCCGTGTTGTTAGTAACACTGCTAGTTTTCTCATTATATTAGGAATTCTGGCTGTACACACAGCCTGTCCCTTACCCGCATCATGAAGAGCAGTACGTCCTTGCAGATCCACATTTTCTGTTGAGCAGTTGTACTGTAGAAGAGCCAAGCATATCTTATTACCATTTTGTAGATATTTAATACCTTCAATATTTAGCATTGTACTTTAATAATAGCAGAATCTAAACCTGGCAACACTTCAAGCGGCACTTCAAATGCATTTTCATTCAAAAATGTTACGTGCATGGATCAGGAACACTCATTTAAGAACCAGACTTAATATGTAACATCCTACCTACTCCAATAATGTCTACAGGAACATTAGCAAATCAGCTTTCTACAAAATCAGTCCACCAGCTCCACATGGTCTCTTTATCTGCAGGGCTTCCTTTCTAAGCATTTTCCCTCCTACCCCACGGACAGATGTGCTGCACACAAAACCTGCAGTGAACTCCACTGACCTTCCTCATCTGACAGAAAGAGAATCTTGCACATGCACAGAAAGCCCCTCTGTCATGCAAGGCTCTTCAGCTTCCTGCTTAATGTTTTTACATGTATTTTGAAATCCACTGGACATTTGATAACTACCATATATAGCTAATCAAGGTCCTGAATTTTCCCCATGCAAAGAAACAAAATTCCCTATCATGCTTTCTTTTCTACACAACATTTAACAATTTGTCAACTATTTAATACCTGCAATAGTTTTTGCAGACAAAGCGCATGTCCATATTTTGCTGCTAAGTGCAGAGCAGTCCTTCCTGAAGAGAAGAATTAACAAGGAAATTCTGAACATAGCCAGAATATATATGCTATATATATATATAAGCAAGGAAATGCCTATTCCCCCCTCCCCAAACACCCAGAGATTTATACATATATAGATAACCCTGTGTAGCTCGCAACTGCAGATTAAATTGATCACTATATTTGAACTGAATTATATACCTCAAGGAAAAGAAAGAAAATTGGGTTTTTAAATTAATTTAAATTGATTTGTAGTGCAGAATAAGTAGTTCCTTTAAATAGCTCTCTTTTTTTATTTTGGGATGGTGGTGTTGGTCAATAAGATACTACAGTTCCAAAGTACAGGCAACAAAACAAGCAACATGGAACCAAACAGGCTTACAGGGCCAGACACACAATACATTAGTTGGCCTTTCAAAATTGTTTAAGTAACAACATGCAATTGTTCTATTTTAAACAAGGAAATCATACCTGCTACATCAGTGGCGACAATGTCAACTCCATGAACAAGAATAGCATTCAGACAATCAAGGTTACCCTTTGAGGCTACAACATGGAATCTGAGTGAAACAAAGGGTAAAAAAGTCAGGTCTTGCTCACCTGCACAGTTTCATTCTGTACAAGTAAATCCTACCAAGTCCAAGAGAATTTGCTCCTATTCTAGAGCTGAAATTATTCCAACATGTGAGTTGGAAGAGATAAATGTTTTAGAAGAAAAATATCCAAATAAATAATCTTGAACATGACCTTCCTGAGCTACAGCTAAAGTAGAACTAAATCCTGCACTTTATATAATCCACTAACATGTGCAACAAATGAAGAGCTGCCCATACAGGTTTCCCCCCAAATTGCCATGGGTTAGGAGGGAGGCCAAAATAGTTGCAATCAGGCTTCTACTTACGCAGATCTCCCTTCCAGATCTAGTTTTGTGGGGTTCACTCCTTTTTTAGCAAGGACAGACAAGATCTTCTCCACATCAGCCCTTTCAGCTGCTTTCATCAAACGATCATCGTATTTGTTCCAATCTGCAGTCAACTGTTTGAAAAATGCAAAAATATATATAATAAATGTCAGTATTGGAAAATCTAGCAGGAATTCCAGAAAATATTTGTTTCACGCAAAGAGTGAGCATCTCCAATAAAAATGGATGAGCTCAAAGAATTGTTGTTCATCTGGCACATTGCTAAAAGGAGAGAAACCACTTGAAAAGTCAGGCTGTAAGCACTTTTGCAGGCAAACTCCCTGGAGGAGGTGTTACTCTGGTCTAAGAATACAAGAAATAAATCTACTCAATTACATTTTTAGCAGCCACTTTAAACTGAGGCACAGTATTGTTTCTTCTACAATATGAGCCTGACACAGAGCAGAGCAGTATACGCCTGAATGCTCTTCAAGATACAAATGTCTTCAACAAAAATTGCAACCTTGGTTAAACTTCTGGAGGAAGTTTATGCAACCTCTGGAGGATGTCAGTCTTGAAAATGGGTCGCTGGAAGTTGTACCCCAATAAATAAGGGAAACAAGAAAAAACAAGAATGTGACTGAACTTAAATTTAAATCCATTAAACATGCTACAATTTATCATAATACTTAAAATAATATTAAAAGTTAGAACTGGGTAGCAATTGCAGATAAGGATGTGGGAGCCATAGCATCTCAGTGGCCTAGTAGATTGTACAGTGAGGGGGGAAAGTATTTGATCCCCTGCTGATTTTGTACGATTTTGTACGATCAGTCTATAATTTTAACGGTAGATTTATATGAACAGTGAGAGACAGAATAACAAAAA